TTAGGCAACATAAAAATTATTTCATTAATAATGAGTGTCTGTAAAGCTTCTGTTAAATCTTTAAATTTTTCACCTGCACTGATTTTTTTTTTTACACTTTCTGTCAACACTTGTGAATGAAGTGTTTTTTTTTATATTGACAGCATCTGTTTTAAACTGTCTCAGTAAACACCATAGATGATATCCCTTAAATACAATTGCAGCTTTGCGAAATTGGCTAATTTACTGTTGATTTTATCATGTTTACGCCTCCACGTGTAGCTTGTCCAAACGTCTTTGTGAAAATTTCATGCCCTCAAAGTGACACCATACATATAACAAAGACATGTGGACATAGAGCTGCTTCTAGTTTTGAATAGTTACAAATTCAAAGACATAGAGACAATTTAGAGTTACCAGTCAGTCTAACATGCATGTTTTTGGTCTGTGGGAGGAAACTGGAGTACCTGGAGAAAACACACGCAGCACGGAGAGAACATGCAAACTCCACCCAGAAAGACCCCCGGCCGGGATTCGATCCGCCGACCTTCTGGCTGAGAGGCAACAGCTTCAACTGCACTTTTTTTTTCCTTTAAAGCAGAAAACTGCAGAAACTTAAAAGCTAAGTAGACTCATCTTAATGATGGTAACTAATGCTAATAATGTGGTTTTTATTATGTTCTGTTGTTGATTTGTGTGTATGATGAATGTCGAGCGTGTCAAACGACAATTTCTGCCACAATTGTGCCAGACAACGTTCAGAATCAGAATAAGTTTTATTATCATTGTACCGAGATACAGTGAAATTATGTTCGTACAGTCGTCCGAAAGATGGACGGAGTGCACGTTGCTGCTGCTACAAGAGCGCAGCGTCTTATTCTTTAAAAGAAATAAATTCAAACAGAAAAAGGGTAAAGGCCATGAGGATGCATAGTGGCATTACAAAAAAGATCTCTTCACATCTTGTCCTATCAGAACACAATTTGAGACATCAAAAAACTCTACCAGCAGCACATTTATAGACACGTTACACACGTGCATGCATTTGACGTCAAGACGGTGAGAATTGTCCATGAAGCACTTCCAGATAATCCATAGTCCTGATAAGATGTTGGTCAGCCGGCAGTTCTGATAAGCCTGCACAGAAGTTCTTGGGGGGCTTGCGATAGACAAAGCTTTTTCCTTTGTTTATCCATGTCCCAGGAGAAATTTAATAGTTGGCGTGCTTTCGAGGCCAAACGTCAGAGTCAGATTCAGATAAGTCACAACTGTTGATTTCTTCAGGCAGACTGTTTTTTTCTTGTCAGACTTGAATCCTGCTGGTACTTTCTATAAAAAAAGGGCCAAATTTATGGGCATTCCACTGATCTGTGCCATGAGCCTCCTTCAAGGTCGTCTCCAACGTGAGTCCCAGAAGCCGCAGGTGGCCTGCGATTATCACAAATCACTTCCATCTTACAGTTTAGCTCATAAATCAGTCGATTGCATTGAAAGACCAGATCCATAATAGTATTTTTCATTCAGAAGATGTGTAACAGGAGCTCCAAGACACTGTCTTTAATTTCCATCACTTAACCAAGTTAATTTGTAACACCTGCGTGCGTTTAACTTCACAACTTCTATGGTTGTAACGGTCTGGTGGTGGTTGAACCCAAAGTGCAGGCAGGACTAGGACTCAGGTTTAAAATAAAAAGTTACTTAATGAAAAATGGCAGCAACAACTTACATGAATCACGAAGGGAGACAAAACCAGGACACCGTGCAGAACATGAAACATGAGCCTTCATGAGAAAACGCCCAGATTACAGACAAGAGACGCAGACAAATACGCAAGCACTGAGTGTGAAAACACCTGAGACAACAGGTGTAGGAGGCAGGGAGTAGATGAGGGAGCAACAGCTGGGACAGACCACACGATGGAGTCACACTATGAACAGGGACAAACACAAGGGTCAGAAAAGGAAATAAGAGGAGAATCAACAACACAGACAAAAGGACAGATTATGTCAATCGGCACATTTTTCTCACTGCTTCTTCCTTTTCCTCATATTTTCACCATACCATACTATTTATAGAGCACTTAAAACAGCTACAAGGCCAACCAAAGTGCTGTACATACCATAGCAGCTTTATTTACATTTAAACACCCACAGGATCAAAGTGCTGAAGGAGTTGAGGTTCTCTGTAGGAGTGACAAGGATGGATAAGATCAGGAATGAGATCATCAGAGGTACAGCACAGGTTGAACAACTGGGAGATAAAGATAGAGAGGACACACTGACATGATTTGGACATGTCCAGAGGAGGGACAGTGGGTATAGAAGGATGTTAGAAATGCAGCTGCCAGGAAAAAGACAAAAAGGAGACACATGGATGCAGTTAGAGAGGACATGCAGGTAGTTGGAGAGAGGACAGAGGACAGAGTGAGACGGAGGAGGATGACTCGCTGTAGTGACCCTTGAAGAGGAAAAAGCTGGAAGAAGAAGAAGAAGGACCAATGTGCTGTACTCATAATAAAACAATCAGACAATAAAGATTGATTAAAATGATTAAAAGTCAGCATCACACGGTGTCAAAGGTCCGGGAGAAGAGATGGAGAAGGGATTTAAAAACAGACGGGGACGAGGCCCGTCTGGTGTCCAAGGGACGGTCGTTCCACAGTTTAGGAGCTGCCACAGCAATTAATGTGTTGTGTTGTGTTGTGTTGTGTTGTGTTGAATGCCTAAAGTTCATCCCAGTTTAAGAGTTGGTAAAAACAATTTTTTTTTTTAATTCAACCTTTATTTATACAGATAAATCCTATTGAGCCTCGAAGATTCATTTACAAGTGAGACCTGTTGAGACAAACAAAAATTAATGAAAGTGGCACTTGTATAGGAGTTGGAGGGGGGAAGATTCCTAACAGACTCTCACTCCCTGGCCGAGAGAGAGCCTGAAACTGAAAATAACACCCATCACATAGACACATAGTGACATAGATATTCCGCAGGAGAGGGGAGACGACAAGAGCGGTGAGCGTGTCCAAGGACACGCCAGAGGCACTGCAGGAGTTCTGAGAAGAATGGGACAATCAGCCAGTTCCATCTGGTGAGACCCGTAAACACTCTCGAGGGGTGCAAAGGTCAACCTTGGACAGTGTCAGAGAGAATCCAAGAGCCCTGAAATGAAGACACAATGTTTATTCAGCCGGGTCCCTCTGATAGGTCCGCAGACTTCCTCGGTGGGAGGGGAAGGGAGGGGGCAGAGCAGCAATTTCCAAGGCCTTCAGGTAAATTGAGAAAAGGTGACCAGTCAAGGCCAGCCAGGGAGCTGAATTCAGATAAGCAACATTTGTTTTGGGGACAAGCAGAACTTTACTGATTCATGTCTGCCTTGAGTCTTTGCTGGTTCTCACTAATTCCAAATGACCAAATTAAGTGGACACACCGCTGGTCTGTGCCTGAGAGTATTTCCCGAGATCTGATCCATCCCAGGCAAGTGGCCTGCGATTCTCACAAATCACATCCAATTTGCAGTTCAATTCACAGAGCAATTGAGTCTGGGTGCTCAAGGCACAGAGCAAACCATCACATAAGACAGGCAGCCTAGCAGGGACAAAAAGGGAAAAAGGAAACCAGTTATCATAAATCCAATTATATATGTGTCTTCAACATCCTGGATGGACAGCAGAGATAGACACATCACCTTCCAATTGTCCCAAGAGTCAGTGACATATCCAGCTGCGTGTGTCATCAGGGCAAGTCGGCTAGCCTGAAGCTTGTCTTCTCATCGAGAAAATTTTATCAATTGTGTTGAGACCAGCTGACCAGATCCATAGCAAAAATTACAGTTCGGAAGATACAGTATGTAGAGAAAGGCTCTGAAGCTGTTTCACAGAAAGGACAGAGCAAAGCAGAGGAGGGAGAGGAGGGGAAAGTGTCCGCCCTCGACAAGAGCAAGTGGTGAAGTGAATTTTATGATCTGATCGGTTAAACCTTTGATATATATATATATATATATATATATATATATATATATATATATATATATATATATATTTATTTATTTTTTAAATATACACACACACACACATATATATATATATATAATGTTAATTTAATAAAATTGAAAATGACTGCATTTTGTTTATATTTTGCACAAAGCCCCAACTTTTTTGGAGTTGTAAACCAAAGAGGAAGAGCTTCTGCACCAGGGGTGTCCAGACTTTTTCATATGTGGGCAAAAACTCTCAAGAAGAAAGTATGCAATGACCACAAACTTTTCAATTCAGCCATTTTTAAAAACAGTATACTTTTTTGTTCTTTTTTAAACTTAAGATGAACAATATTTTTGAAAAATGGACAAAAGTTTACTAATTTTATGAAGAATCAGTTCCAAGCTCTAGATACAAAACAATAAAAGCCTCGCAAACATTAACCATATATTTTTTAAAGGATTTAATTGATTTGTTGGATTTATTTTAATTTTATTTATTTCCTTGTGCTTAGGAAGTTCACTTTAGTCTTTTCTTGTAAACAAAAAAATAATTTAAGTTACTGTTCTTCACAAGGCCTGCACGATGGTGCAGTTGTAGAGCTGCCGCCTCTCAGTGAGGTCGCTAGATCAAACCCCTGCCCTCCGTGCATGTGTGGGTTTCCTCCCACAGACCATTGTTTGTCTCGTTTGTCTCTATGTGTCCCTGTGATGGACTGGAGACCTGTCCAGGGTGTCCCCCGCCCCTCGCACAATGATTGCCGGACATGGGCACCGGCGACCCCCGTGACCCAGAATGGAAGAAGCGGGTAAAAGATAATGGATGGATGTTCCCTGTCTGAAATAACAAGTCAAAGGTAATAATCACTGAGATTTGTTTTATTTCCATTTTCCACACAGTCCCAATGTTTTGCTGAGTTGGGATTGTACTAAGAACTGCACACACGCACACACACATACATCCCATCACCTGTTTTTAAAGATATCTATAATAATAATAATAATAATAATAATAATAATACAGGAAAAATAACAGACATTTCTCTGGTAAATTTTAAATGAAAACTTTAAATTCTTCTGGACATAGTGGGTATTTTGTCTTTAATTATGTGTAACTGTGTTTCTTAACGTGGTCCAAACTTTACCGAACCACCAGGAGGCTGGAATATTTTTCCTCTTCACTGTAAAACAAGAAATGCAAAGGCATCTTCCAAATGTAACAGTACAAATATTGGGGGAACACTAGCAAAGAGGAACATTTAGTCACGAGTAGTGAGGTTATAACTGAGCTGATACTATGAGATCAGCCTGGATCTGCAACATGTAGAAGTTTTTACACACTGCCACGTGTTAAATACACAACAGTCCGTGGCAGCTGGAGAACAGTCGCTCGGTCTCCTGGTTCCTCTCCGCTTCAGTACAAACTCACATTGTCCCACTCCACCAGGTACTGCACCTTCCCATCTGCTGTGACTCGCCTCGCCAAGATCCTCACCGCCTCCCCTCCTCCCCAGCTCCTGGCTAAAGTCCCATCACCCCCTCCCACCCCCATTCCCACTCCTGGTCCAACACCTCCCCCTGCGCCCCCGCTGGCCTGACAGGGGGGGACGTCGCGCAGGATGAGGGGCTCCAGCTGCTTCTGGCCCGGCTGGTGTTGGTGGTTGTGTTGGTAGGTGTGGTGGTGCTGGTGGAGGTGGTGGTGGTTGTCACTGGAGTTGCAGGGGTACGGGAAGCATGTTGGGGGTAACCTGCAGGCGTCCTCCACGCTGGAAAAAAAAAAAAAAAAACAGAAGCGTGGACGAGTCACAAACAGGAAACTGTAGATGGTTTCAGATTAAAGAGACTTCATTCTATAAATAATTTACCAAACATCACGAGGTGATTCAGTTTTTAACATTTTCACAAGTGTACAAAGTGTACATGGGGGGGGGGGCATGTACTCTTTTCAGAATGAAGAAAGTTTACGTTTTTTTTATATACCCTGCATGACCAGACATCTTCCTACATCAGACTCCTTTTCGGGTTGCAGGGGTCACTGGTGCCCATATCCAGCAGTCACAGTGAAAGAGGTGGGGGACACCTGGACAGGTCTCCAGTCCATCACAGGGACACATAAAGACAAACGTCCATTCACTCTCTCTCTCTCTCTCTCTCTCTCACCTAGGGGCAATTTAGAGTTACCAATCAGTCTAACATGCATGTATCTGGTCTGTGGGAGGAAACCGGAGTACCCACGCAGCACGGAGAGAACATGCAAGCTCCACCCAGAAAGGCCCCAGCTGGGATTTGATCAGGTGACCTTCTCGATGAGAGGCAGCGGCACTCACAACTGCGCCACCGTTCCGCCCCGTATGACCAACATGTTGCTATTCTCCCTCGTGGCAACAATTGACACCATCTGATGTGCGGTGAGCACGGGGGCAGGCGGTGTTCCCAACTGAGCGAGCAGCAACTCAGCTGTGAGCCCCTCTCTGTCCCAAAGCGCTCAGAGCAGAGACCCACTGCAACAAACCATGAACGCACACGCCCACAACTCATGCTGCTCTGTTCACAGAACCCCGTGCATTGCACCCCCGACCTCCCTGGAGCTTCTTCTGTATGTAAGATCTGACTTTGTATTAAACGTCAATGTGTTCGGAGCGTTGCCATCATCTTAAAGTTGATGCAACTTGCACGTGTGACCAAACATCTGGTCTTAGAGAGAGAGCGCCGGCGTGGGAGCGAGCAGCCTGTTTGAGTGTCTCTATGAAACTCGTGTTTCTGCTGCTTTACTTCATATAGTTAAACAATACGAACACTAAAAGACAAATATTTGTAAACCCCAGACTACGGCAAAGGTGTGTGTCTCCATTTAACTTTAACTGTATTATCCCAAACTCACAAAATTCTCTGAGTCAGTCCAGAAACAGTATGTTTTGTACATTTGTGAATATGTTGATAGTTGTAAATCTCCCCTAACTCAATATGAGAAAACAATCAAACTATGTCGTCTGGAACAGGATCATGAACAACCCCTCAACAATAATAAAAATATTCCAGAATGGGAACCATTAAACTGGTTAGCAAGGAGTTCCGTTATCAATTTAAACTTTGTTTTACATACTGTAGGTAAGCCTGTCACAATAACAAATTTTGATGGGTGATTAGTTGTCTCAGAAATTATTGCGATAAACAATTATATTGTTTGAAATTTGACAATAATTAGTAATTATTGTCAAATTTAAGAAGAAATGTTGGTTCATTTTTGTGTAGTACCTTTTTCAACCATGGGATGGCAGTATAAGACAGTTTGAACCGAAGGATGGATAGTGAGGGAGCAAGCAGCGTGTCTCTTTAAGAAAATGGGAGGGAGGCCCCTTGACGTGACATGGGCTGTCTCTCTTCGTTTCGCAAAATGGCGGACGCTCTGTGTAGTTTGAGCTCTTTAGCATAGAATTTTTTACACACAACTTTTAATAATAAAATCAGTAAACAAGTTCTCAGCTGCTTTTTGCAGAGAAAAACAACTTTTTAGGCGAAGGCACGCGTTTCAACCGTGAATTCTGGAGCTTCGACAAGACGGAGGTTTTTTCCCCCCCGAGGTCGGCCTGTTAGCTTAGCTCGTAGCTTTTCTTCTCAGCTTAGCTGCTTTTAACGATCCAAAAACGCGATTTTGTACGGTTAAAACAGATTTTAAAGAGAAAAGAGAAAGAGAGCGGTCAGTGAAGAGCACCGGAGCTGAGCCTTTTGTCATCCAGTGTCTTCAGTAGAAAGAGAGAGACATGAAGAAACGATAGAGCCGATAAATGAAAATGAGGTCGATAATTTTAATTTATCATGCGATTAATTGATTTATTGTTTATCACGACAGGCCTAGCTGTAGGATCAACAAAACAGCAGTTAAACTGCATAAATAATTCTCACTGTAAGTAACGTTACAACGCAAAGTGGTTTGAATTCACTTTAAACAGCTCATTTCTGTCAGGTACGAGTTTGAATAATTATTTTTGTTGTTTAAGTCAATCTTAAAAATCACCATTCGCAAATAAAAACAACAAACATTATTTGAAGTCGTAATTTATTGCATGTGTTTAAAGTTTTCTAGGAATCAACCGAACTTCCTGTAAGTGGCAGAGGGATGAAAACCTGTTGTAGTGATGAAGACTTCTGGAGAGGGCAGCGTTTCCGTTGTAGGTGTGGTACAGGGCGTACATTCGCTTGGCAGGAGGACTGAAGGCGAGACAGAAGATAACACAACTTGAATCTAAAACCTGTACAACAGGCAGAAATTTAACGGTTTGCTTTAAAAAATATATAATTTGTTGGGCTAAATTCAGTAAACCCATAAAGATTTTTCAACAGACCTTCAGCTGTTGAAAATGCAAAATCCTAATTAAGAATAAAATACTGAATATGAGTTGAGGCTGAGATGAAACGAGCCTTTCAGCCGGCTCAAATCCACGGAGAACGCACCTGAGCACAGAATTTACCTCACACTGAGCTCCTCCTCCGACTTCCTGGAGTCGTAAAGGCCGGCCCCTCCCATGTATCCATGGCAACATGGCAGCAGTTCAACAGGGTTGGCAGCAACTGGAGGTGGACAGACCTGGGCACAGTTGGGGGGTGGGGGGGACACAGAGATCAGCTGGTGTCTGGATGCCAACATCATCCCTGGGTTCTCTCAAACACTGACTTAAAAAGGTGGACAAATTAAAAATATATATCAATAGAATATTTATGTGAGAACTTCCAACTCAGTATGTTATTTTTTATATGGCAGCAACAAATCAAAGTAGATGAGACAAGGCCAAGAAAAGACTGTAAAAGTAAGTGGTACGAATAAAAAAACAGCTGGAGGAACATTTAGCAGCTAACTAGGTTAGTTGGCAACGAGTCAGTAAAAGGACTGCGTTTAAAAAGAGCTTTTCAGAGACGCTGAAGTCCTCAGAACTAAAGATTGTCAGAGGTTCTGTGAAAAACTGAGTCTAGAATGGTGGAACAATTTCATATATCCCATCATCTTCAGGTTTTATGATCAAAACTATCTCAAAAACCTGAAAAAAACAATGTTTGAAGGACGAGGCTGAACGTCAACATTGGATTGTCGTGATTTTTGGCCACTGCTTTAAAACCAGGTCTGGTTCAGTTCTGGGCTCAGGACCACTTGTCTGTAAACACAGTTCATCCACAGGTGCTGCTTAAAGCTCTATCAGACAAAGAAGAAGCCAGATGTGAACACCATCCAGAACTGCTGTGATCTCCTCTGGACCAGAGCTCGTTTCAAACGGAGGCAAAGTGGAGGACTAAAATATGGACACCATGTCAGAGGCGAGGAACCAGCCTGTTATCAGCCCACAGTTCATAAGCCTGCTTCTCTGATGATATGGAGGTGCATTACTGTGTCTGGTGTGGGAAGTTTACACATCTGGAAAAGCTCCATCGATGCAGAAAAGTTTATACCGGTTTTATAACGACATCTGCTCCCACCCAGTGAAGAGCCAGGACTGTTGAACACTTGAGTCCTCCATCAGACCAGAACGGGATCCTTCAGGAACTGAACGTCTCCTGGACGTTTACAGACTGTTGCTAAAGGAGGAGGGGATGCTACACACATGGACCTGGAACACGTTTTTAAAGACGTGTTGCTGCCATCAACTTCCAATTTACCCCATTTAACAAAACTAATTCTTCGCCTCAACATTTGCCGTTTACTAAGTTACTCTGTAAATAAAATACGGGTTTGTGAGAATTGCAAATCATTGCATTTGTTATTTATTGACATGTTATTCAAAGCCCCAACTTCTTGGAGTTGGAGTTGTACGAAGGATCTGAGCCACATCGCTGCGGCTCCTGACACACGTTTGTGACATCATGCTTCAGTGCACCTCCACATCCCATCTCATGGAGCTGACTGGTTAGTAACGCTGCTCTCCGCCTGCTAATGACCCATAACAACATCAGGGCATCATCAGAGCGAGCCATCCGTCAGTGGGAACATCATCTGGGAGGAGGTCACCTAAAGATTTGTCATCGTCGGACTGTGACATATATCAGCACACGGAGCGCATCACATTCCCTCTGTAGCACGACTGCTATGATGGGGGATCGTTAATCAGTGGCTTCAGCTGATGTCTGTGCCTTTAAACGCTAACGCTCTGTCAGAGTTGCACTGTCAAGGTGCCAGCACCACCTGGCCAAACTGTAATTGACTGCAAAGTGCACTTGGACGTGATCCCAGACTCCGCAGATCAGCGTTCCTACCTGTCTCACTTTCCTCCCCGCGACAATCCTGCGCCTCCAAGAAGGATGCAGATTAGCATCAATCAGAGAACAATGAGGCCTGGATCTGCCAGAGCGGGGGTAAAAAAAACAAGAGCTCTGCAGAGCGAAGTGTTCCAGGATTACAGTACGTGCACATACACAGATCAGAGTGATGTGTAGGAGGGGAATAAAGGCACAATGAGCATCACGGTTACGAACGGCGAGTAAAAATAGTAACTGCCACATGTGAGGCTGCTTGTTTCGGAGTGATCCGCCGGGAATTGGGTTTGATGATAATGATAAATGCTGAACTGCAGGTGTTGAAGAAGCACAAGAGCAGCTTTTTCGCAAGATTGGATTTGAATTATACATTTTATGGAAGCAACGCCACATCTCTCACAGCTGCCATTAATCTATTTGTGTTCTCTCGAACATTACCGGGCTTTAAAAACGCAGCGGAGGAGAGAGCGAGCAGAGATGAACCTCACGGCTCGTCTGACTGACAGGTTATTTGGGCCGAGCTGAGCTGTTTACCTGGCTGCATTTAAAATAGGAAAACGGGGTTAACGGGCCCGGACCACCCTCCCCTCCTCCTCCTAAGACAGAGGCGCTGACCTGTGTCTCCATGACGCGACGCTTTGATTTACGCGACTCCGGCCCCCCAGCTCTTCTCTGGCAGGGTAGTGACAACGGGCTGAAGAGGACAAAAACACAGGAGTTAGAAAATAAACATTTGTTGTTTTCAAGGCGTTGCTGCAGCTTCGTGGAGACTTCAAGTGAACGGTGTATAAAAATAGTTTTTTTTCTGTCAGACGAGGATAAGCAAGATGACAGATGTTTGTCCTTTTCATTCATTAGAAGCAGTTTAATTATTGTCCACCGCTATAAATAAAAGGCAGGTAATAATGTTTTTATCTATGCATGAGCGAGTGTTCATTTGTCTGTCTGCACGCAAACTCTCTCTTAAACCAGTGGACAAGATTTTATGAAACTATCATAAAATAATCATTAAATGTGCATCTATGAATGATTTTTTTGGAGTCAACCTGTTTCTTAATAGCAAACTCAAAACTAACTACAAATCAGTTAATTTTATGGATATTGACCTAAAATTAGGTGTGGTAGTAGTTGAGACTGATTTTCAATGCATAGTCAGTATCTTACTTGCAGTAGAAAGCAGTCACCGTGAGCACAACGTGAAGAAACAGAGAGAAATGATGCTGCTGCTCAGAGCAGGAACTCGTTCATGAGTCATTTCCACCATCCAGAACATGCATCACTCCAAATGTCACATGCAGTTCAGACTAGAGCCCGACCAATATGGAAATTTTGGCTGTCGCTGGTACCGATATTGGGAGGGGGAGACTAATGCCAATAACAGCTCTAATGGCTGAACATGTTTTAGCTTTGTCCACCCCCAAGAATCTAAGAAAACAGCGAGTGGAGCAGGACTTGTTTATTTAGCGCAGCTGTTAGCAACCATGAAGCTAAGCTAAACTGATCCATGCTTTAACTACCGTAGTCCCATAGTCTGTTTACAAGTGATGCAGTGGTCATAAAAACTGTTTTCCTAATGTGCGTTGACATTTTCTATTCTCCATAATTCACTATAAAATTATCGTGTTACAAAAATATAAATTAAACAAAATCACCTTCCCTGTTCAGTGTTTAAACAGTCACGTTTGGTGAAGGTCTAATTAGCACTGACCACAGCTGCATTTGTTTATTTATTTCTTTGCAGAAAAATGAAGATTTCAGACAAACAACGCATTTCATTGAGGACGACAAAGATAATGTTACTAACACTGACATATATTTACAGCTACATTAGATTTAGTGTTCTGGATGAAGCTGTACAAGACAACAGCCTATGCTAGGTTATCTAAATGTTAGCTTGCTAACTTGAGAGGCACGTAGCTAATGACAAGCAGGTTGGAGGAATGAAGATAATTTATTATTGTTGATTTATTTTATTTTACAGATCAGTTAAAATAAAATTACCATGGCCTGTTCAGCAAAATATGCTGCACAGTAGTGCTCGCTGCTTCGACTGTGCTGAAAGTGAAACTTAAGTGAACGGTCATGACTTGAAAGTTGTCTTCATGCGCCCACTGCTGGATACATTGTACAGAAATCAGCAACCACTGCTTCCAGACTTTTAGGGGTGAAAATTAGAAGTGTTTATAAATATCGGCACATAATGGGACAATTTTCACCGATATCGATATGTCTCCAAACTCCTATATCGGCCTAAAATATCAGCCTTATGACTATATCGGCCCGGCTCTAGTTCAAACACAATAAAAAAATACTTTTTTTTGCAGACAGAAAAACGGAGTGATAAAGAAAATACAGTAATTTTAAAAATGATTGAATGGCTTAGTCCATGAGATGAGAGTTGATCTGTCTGAGTGAGACTAAACAAAGAAATGTACAATTCTGTGCAGCCTCATCTGATCAGAAGATAATCAGAAATTATAAAATGTAAAAATATGTAGCATTTGTAGTATTTGTTGAAACTGGTAGAAAATAGAGTTTGGGTCGTTTTAGAAGGTGGAACTGCTCTTGATTGGTTCCTGTTAGGTTTACTCGTGAGTTTTTCCAAGAACACGACGACCGGTGTCATGTTGCAGGTAAGACACTGAATACTTTCCACAATCACAGTTCAAAAGAATTGAGCTAATCTTAAAACTTATTTTCCACTGTCTTGTTTGGTTTGAAAATGAATAAGTAAAAAAAAAAAGTTTGTGGTTCTAAAACCTCCAAAGACACTGAAACATAGATTGAAGTCCTCCTTGGAATAAACATTTTACTGTAGTGATTATTTATTCCACCATTAGGAACTGAAATTGTTGTATTCTGTTAAAAATAAATAATTCTCTGCCCTCTGACATTAGTGAGTGTTCAGTAAATTGCTCGGCACTCAGGGCTGCAGATTATTAAAGTATGAAAAGTTGACATTTTGTTGTGCACAATGTGCAAAAGGAAATCTAACACAGAAAGGGGGGGGGGGGGGGGGGTCATTTTAACAAGCTGCATATAAAACCTTAACATTATGCCAGCACGGAAACAATGAAAATCAGTTTCTTAGAATCTGCAGGAACAGATAATTTATCCTCGGCTCATTTCAAGAAGAAGAATCTGAACGTCGGTTAAATTTGTGGGAACAAGCTGCTTAATGAACATTTTGATTCTAATGGTACCAGGAGACAAAATGTTTAAGATGAGCTTTGATTTGTTGTCACAAATTTCAGCTCAACAGATGATTTGCCACTGTCCGTTCCATTAAGGTGGGGGGGGGAGGGGTGTCTTCAACCTGCGGCTCCTTGTCCCCCTGCAGGATTCGTCGGTAATTATAAAAAACAAGGTTTACCTTTAATAAAAACTTAATCTCATCTGTCGTTTCTCTTGTAATCTTAAGCACATGAATCTATTTGTAAAGCAAAGACTAACTTCTTTTTTATTGATTATCTTTTGACTGATCAGTGGAAATGAGCAGCTTATATTCCCGCTGGGTAAAAACAATAAATAAACCATATCAAATAATTTATCTTCTGTTTTTATTCATGCTAATATAAAGAATGTTTGTACCTGAGACTGAACAAGCTGCTGCTACAAATAAAACGTGTAAAATAACACCCTGACGCCACCGACCGACTGGAAGGTTACTGGTTCTGTGCTGGTTCTGACCTTCTCCGGTGGGTGATGCTGATAGGCGGATCTGTGATGAGCGGCGACGAATCAGACGAGAGCGGAGGCGGGGCTCGGACCTGCAGCCCAAAAAGACACTTCTTCTTCTTGATCTCCTTTCCAGAGACGAACCTGGTGCGAGCGTGGACAAACGGCAGTGTGGTTATGAACCCTCCCACTGAGCTCGTCTCCACTAATAATGACGTTAAAGCTGCCTGACACAATGGAGCTGCTCTGCTGATGAGAAGACGTGGCAACACTTCAAATGTAGGGACTGTAATTAACTCGCACATAATTAGAAACAGACGTTGCCTGGAGAAACGTTCTGGTTTTTCTTTGACTGTGAGGTTATTTCTGTAGAAAACTCTCAGAAAATCCATTTAATCCAAATGTGTTCTGACAAAATAAGCCCCGAAAAGTCCATGCTACATGTCACCTCAAGTCCACCATTATGACCGCAGAGCAGAGCAGACCTGCTCCTCACCCGTCGCCTCATGTGCCCCCCCAGGACTCACCTGTCCTTGTGAGCGTTGAGAGCGTTGAGCAGATTGTGGCAGCGGTCTTGTCTCGGCGTGTCAGCGAGCTGGAGGACAGAGAGGGATACGTTTTGTTTAAATAGTCAAAGATGACATCACGCATCGCCTGCATGCAATCATTTTCTTTTACAGCTGCTGACAGCTGTAATGGTGATATGAAAAAGTAACTGTTGCTGCGACGACGAGGCTGAAAACCGCTGCAGTTAGGAGACGACAGGACGGAGAAAACGTTTCAAAATGTCTCCTGGAAATGTGTTCAAGGAGAAACCTCAGACACGCGCAAAAAAATAAAAACCTGCAGATGCTTTAAAGACAAACTCTGCAGCAAAAACACATAAACATCTCGAGTTTTCTCAAAGTAATCAATAAATATATTAAATTATGTTAAATGCTTCTGTTTTATTTGTGTTATTAAATATTCTCCAGTCTACAGTTTATTTTATTTAACAACTAACACCTCCGTGCACACGTTCATTTTATTTTTAAACATCTGGACCTTCTTGTGATCTTTTAAAGTGGTCTGAAGAAGAGGAGGAGAAGGAAGAACAGGTGGAAGAAAAGGAAAACGAGCAACAAGAACAAAAAGGAAGTAGATGAGAAAGATTTTTTGATTTTTAACAAAACTTTATTTATACAATAATTTAACACAGCAGTGTTAAAAACACGATCGGGACAAGCTTAAAATAAAATATTTACATGAGGAGCTTGTTGCATTTAGCATAAAACCTTCTTAAATCCAGTTTCACAAAGTTCTCCAGGTGTCCAGTGTCTCTGTGGAAGCAAAACTCCAACTCCAGTCTGGCCTTGACGTTGCACCTCCACAGATCCACGGCATCAAGTTGAGGTCCAGCCTGCGGTCTGTCCATGCGAGACAAGTCAACAGACATTTTGGCTTCGGCCACTAAAAACTAACTTTGTGGCTTTGCTGTGACGTACTCCATTAATAAAAACAGATTTGGTGAAAACTGTGTCCAAAAAGCTGAAGATCCTCGTCATTAGATTAAACAGAGCCGTCAGCCGTGCACAATCAGTAAAAACATGAAAAACACTCAGACAAACTGCAGAAATGACTCGTTTAAAACCTCAGGATTGATGGCAGACAAAAAAAAAAAAGAGTTTGTTGCAATGGTGCCGTGAAGGATCCTCCATTGAAGATCGCCAGTCTGCTTTATTTTTTGTTGTCTGAGGTTTGTAAAGAGTCCTCCACTGGGGCTTCTGGCCTCCGAGCTTGTCGTCCCACACGCTGACAGTTCAGAGTTCTCCTGTTCAGGATCTTAACATAAGTCTTGTAAAGTGACCTGTTCAGCACACGTCCATCTTTCGTTCTGTGCTGCGTAGCAGAGAACCACTGTCTTTCGCAAAGTTAGGATCCAGGTGGATGTCCGGGAAAGGGTCCGTTGGGTCTGGTGGGCGATTCCCCGTGGACCACAGCTGCAGGAGACGCTTCACTCCAGCTGTCATCCTCTCCTTCACCAGCTCCAGGAAGCGCTGCATCACTCTGGCAGACCGGACACCAAGAAACGAAACCACCTCTCAGACGTTGGAGAAGTCTGGTCCGGCCGTCTCCACCAACCGCCTCGGGGTCACCGTCCCAGAATCGCACAGCGCCTTTGACAGGCCCGGCACCGTGCTATTACAGACGTCCGTTCTCGCTCCACAGACTAGTGGTTCCTCTAAGAGCCACTGCAGAGAATTATACGTTTTTGATCTGTTTGGTTTTAAAAAAAGGAAACGCTTTGAAGAAACTGGGGCAACCCCTTTAGCTTTAAAAGGCCAACGTTGGTTAGAAACAGAGCAGCATCCAGCGCCAACACGCTCACACGTCTGAGGATGCAGCCGGCCACGTCCCTCCACAGTGGCAGGAGGTCCTGCCAGGTACTTCTGGAGGAACTGTATTCGAAAAGTGGCCGTTGTGCTGGCCAGGTGGACAAGGCCCTGTCCCCCCTCCTCTCCCAGTAAGAACAGGACCGACTGTAGCACCCAGTGTCGACCGTTCTAAAAGAAATCTACCATCTCAGACTGTATTTTTACTAAGAGGCCTGGAGGTGGATCTAAAACAGATCGTTTGTGCTGATGCCACCAGGTTGTTTAACTCGAGTACTCTGCCCCTGTAGGACATTTGAGAGTGCGGCCATTTCCATTTTTCCAGTTTATTCTTGACCTTCTGTTCCACATTTCCCATTTTTTCTGTGCTACAGCCTTATAGAGACAGAGATCTTTAAGAAGCTGAGAAAGAAGACGAGAAAGAATAAGAGGTCAAAGACTAAAACAAATAAGAAGAAAGAGAAGAGGAAGCAGAAGATGACGATGAGATGATGAAAGTTGTTCTCATTCATCTCATGTTTCAGGTTTTAGTTTTAATAAAGACAAGTGAGCCTTTCTGTTTTAGAGTCTTGAAATGAGAATTCATTTTTCCTGTAAGTTCATTTTAAAAACTTCTGTCCATTTATATCCGTACGCTTGTGTTTACCGTGCTCTTACTTTGATCCAGTATAATGAAATCATTTCCTCTTGCTTTTATATTTAAGTGAACGCTTCTTTGAGCCGCGCAGGACGAGTAAACGAGACTTTGAGCTCATGACTAAACAAGTGTTAAGAAGTGATCATTTAAAAGAGGAGAATTTAAAACCAAAGTAAAAGTTTGTTGACAGAAATGTTTGTGTTTGAAATCATTAATGCAAAAAAATCAAGCAGCTCAAGCAGAAAAAACATCAATAAAGCTATTATTAAAATACAGAACCACGTTTTGGATCAATGGACCTCACTGATCCAGACGCCAAACAGAACTCTGTCATAAAATGATGTTAAAGCTACTGCATGATTAAAAAAGTTTAATTTTAACCTTTTTATAATGGATATGCAAATAAAATCATAGTAAGATGAGCATAAATTAAATTCTAAAACTCAATGGCAAGCGGTCAATAAGTTCAAAATGTAGTTTTTTAAAATAAACGCTTTAAATTCTCTAAAAAAACGTATATTATCCGCTTCAGGTCGAAGTTTAAACAGGATCTAAAATCAAAGGAAGGTCGAGCAAGACGTGAGCTAAACAAATCCTCCACTCACTGACCAGCAGCCCCTGGAAATACTAAACTCTCCTTCTGAGCTTCCATAGAGGTCAAACGTGAACTTTTACTTTAACGGTGGTTAATGAGCTTTAAATACGAAATGCTAAAAAGCCTGGAAGTGTTTCACATCATTTCATCATCGTGCTTAAACAGGGAAATATCAATACCGCGCCCAGAAGCAGCGAGTCCCAGTTCTCATTGGTGAAGGACAGGATTTCATGGTCAAAATCAAAGTATTTCCTCTTACAGCACAGCGAGAGGTGGTAGAGCACCAAATGAGCCAGATCCACCCTGCAGTTCAAACGGAGACAACGAGGCAGACATTAAGACAAAACAGGAAGAGCAAAAACAAACGTTGGAATTTTCTTTAAAACATTTTTTATCTTAAAGTACTTTTATTCAGTCATTATGGTGAAAAAGCAATAATAACTAGAGAAATATGTCGGATTATGTCCTGTTAAAATGCAGCGTGAACGCTTATTGCTGAATGAACTCTGCTGAAGAAGCTGAAACCAGCTGAAAACATTTAATCACTAAAGGGAGTTAAATTTAAACAGCTGAACCCATTGGCTGAAGACGGGAAAATAAAAAAGAGCACAAAAAGCTGAAATTAACTGAAAAGTTGTCTAGCTGAGCAATATTAGAAAGAAACACAAAAGGTGGAAATTTGCAAACAAATAAAAAAATTGCAGAAAAAAGTAGCAGACGAATATCTTTAAAAAGTAGGTGAAAAAGCAGAATAAAGCTGAAATTAGCATGAAGAATCTGAAAAAGAACAAAAACAATAAAAGCAGCAGGATAAAAACTAACCCTACCCAACATGTGTAGAAAGAAGCAGAAAGAAGCTGAAAGGAGCTGAAGCTAGACGACATGAGAAGAAAGAATCTGAAAGGTGCTGAAAGGAGCTGAAGCTAGCCGACATGAGTAAAAAAGAATCACAAAGAAGCTGAATGGAGCTAAAGCTAGCTGACACGAGTAGAAAGAAGCAGAAATAAGCTGAAAGGAGCTGAAGCTAGCTGACATGAGTAGAAAGAAGCAGA